GTTTTTTAAGGGAGACAAAATAGCACTTAGATCCCCAGCTGGCCGGCTGCCTGGGACTTGAATGGTGTGTTGCTTGAGTTACTCACTAAGTCTGACCATTATGGAGTATTGTAAATTAATAACAGAGGGCTCAAGAGGGTGGATTATACGTGTGTCAGAGGAGTGATCATGACCATGAAAAGTTCAGGGACAAAAGGTGTGATCAGCCCAGATTAGTCCTCTCTCTGTTTAGTTTATTACAGCTGGATAAGGAATTACTGAAGCATCTGTCTGTCAGCTCTGTAATACGCCATGACAACCTGTGCTGATAATCTGTGTTTTTGTGATGTACTAGAAACAAACCACAAATTCAAAATATCCAAGAAGCAATTACAATAACACATTTTTATCTCATCAAGTGACTGTGGGATGGTGAGGAGGAAGGGGGTGCTGAGACAGCTTGAGTTAATAAGGATTACGTAACAGAGGCCTTGATGAGTTTTTCCTCAAAACAGCTGTTGCCACCCTCCTTCTACCTGATTAAAGCGTTCCACTTGCAACAAATCCAGTGGCATGCTCTGGTCAACAGATGGAAAACATCATGTCTGCAGGAATCCTTAGTGTCACTGGTTATTTTGTATCCTGTTTGTCACAGGCTGTCATTATGCCACAGTTTTTGAGTCCACCTGTGTTTTTAAAGTCCATATATATATATATATATATGATCAGTAATAAATAATAAATCATGACAGCGTGTCATCTTCTGCTGTGTCTCTAGGTGAGAGATGTCGAAGTTTTATTGATTTAGCCCCTGCATCAGAAAAAGGTGAGTGCTATCTGCGTTACCTTGGTTATCACAACTCTTTAAGCCCTCTAATTCTTACCCTATTTTCATTCACTGAGCTGTACTTCCCCATGTTTGTGAATATTTCTGCATCACTGTAACATCTTGGTCCGTTCTGATCTAATCAGCAACTGTCAGTTCAAGAATGTTTTAATGTGAAATCATGAAGGAGGGCTCACACATTCAGTTTAAAGTTTCACAGATGTTTAGCTGCGATGACACTTTCACTTGAGAAATGCTTAGTTCCTGTCAATCTGTCAAGAAAAGCAAAAAATCGAGAAACGGAGTGAAGAGGAGTTGAAATGTCTGATCATCATGTGCAGCCAGATTATATTCCACTAGATTAATTGGAAGGCTGAATAAAGCTTTCTGTAAACCGGAAAGCTTTGACATCAGTTCAAGTAGCACTTCATATGAGATCGTCATGTTACTTTCACCCCACATTAAGTCTGACTAACCAGTGAGATTGAGATGTTAGGTGACAATAAATCAAAATCTTCCCTTTAATAAAGAATCTCCATCTTAATTTATGTTATTGTGCATTTCTTGTTTGCTTTTTGGGCATTTTTCAGGGATGCTGTGGTTGTCACTTGTTTCTGAGATGTTGTACATTATTCTGCTGGTGGTTGGCTTCAGTCTCATGTGTTTGGAGCTAGTGCACTCCAGCAATGTCATTGATGGACTCAAACTCAATGCCTTTGCTGCCATCTTTACAGTACTTTCAGGTATGTGCTTGATTCTATTTTTCACTAACTTTAATGCTTTTGTGACATTTCCTGCAGTGTACTGTATTCAAGTATTTGCTTCTGGTTTCTAAGATTGTCATTTATCTTTGTAAGCCAGCTTTTGAAATACAACATAACAAACATATCCTGGTTAATCTGTTAATAAGGAGGGAGCTGTTGTTCTTGAACCAGAGAAACATCCCTCTGGTTTCCTTGTAATGATCAGAAGTAAATCTGAACTCAATTCAAAATCTAAAAAAGAAACAGTAGCCTTGAGAAGAAAGCGGAGGGTCAGCTGAATATGTTTTTCACTTCTTTTCCCAAAATAACAGTTTGTAAATGAACCTTAGCAAATTACTTGGATGGGGATTTAAGGTTATCCTCACCTGGATAACATCACTGTTTTTACTTAGGATATTCATATTTCCATACCCATGGAAAGGGTTGATTCTGCACTCGAAAGAAATCATCAAAGTATTTTTTAAATACTGTTCTTCTTTTCTGTTTGTACACTGAATCAATCAGAAAAGCTTACTAACAATATACTGTGCATATGATTTCAGGTCTTCTTGGCATGGTGGCTCATGTCATGTACACACAGGTTTTCCAGGTCACCGTCAGCCTTGGCCCACCAGATTGGAGGCCCTACAACTGGGACTATGGCTGGTCTTTCTGGTAAGACTCTGCAAACATCCACCTCAATACAGATCATTTTATACGCTGTGTTATTTATAGTGTTACATAGATAGAGTTAAGTCAAATCGTTCTTTAAGAAACAGGATGAAGAAGTCCACTCTGCATGTCTGTGCTGCCTCACACTGTCAGCAGAAGCGCTGATCTCACCTCTCTTCAGCATCACTGTCTGTAATGAAAAAAGTCCAAAGCTCTCGTGTTATGGTAGGATTAGGCTTTGGTGTCCAAAGCCCCAGTGCGGGTGTGATTAGAATTGCATAAGGGAATAATATTTTACTCCTTTACAATGTGCACAGTATGCTGAAAATTCATTTTGAAGGCTAAACAATTCTTGACCTTCTATGGGAATTATCCAGTCTGCATGAAAACAACATGGGATGATGATTTGATTGTCTGACCTCACATGCGAACCAGCCTGTTTGAGGAGACCAGGGGGACTTAAAGTGATTGGCACTAATCTTACCAAATACAGTGTCACGGTATTGAGGGTAAAACGTCAGAATACCTCACCACACTGAAGCGCACCATTAGGTTTTCACTTTTTTTGTTAGTTTTTTTTTTTCAGCTACCACATCTGTTTATTAAAATATGAATTCTCTTGCTGTTTTATATCAGCATGGCCTGGGCTTCCTTCACCTGCTGTATGGGTGCATCTGTCACCACCCTCAACTCCTATACGAAGACCGTCATTGAGTTCAGACACAAACGCAAGACCTTCGAGCAAAGCATCAGGGAGGAGGACGCACGGGAGGCATTCGGATATTTCCGGGAGCACTCTGTGCACTCCATCTCCAAATCTGTGGATTATTACTCTAGTCAGACCATAAAAAGTGGCAGGAAAACTCCTATACCAGGTGACTCGCTGGACTTCAGTGACATTGCAAATTCTTTGGGGGAAGAGCAGTGCTGAGTGAGAAAGGACAGTAGGTGGCAGCATTTCTCTTAATGTGGCATCTCATTGGACTGACGCATAGCTGTCTTTGGTAAGTTTTCACTGTGGGACAAACACCTACAAAGATAACAGGCCGCGGTGTTAGCCCTGTCTGACACATTTAAGTACTGCCTTAATGAAAACCCATCATGAAAGTTTAAGTCATAGAAGTTTAAAGTTGGAAAATTGCAGCTAAAAGTGGACATGAAGGTGTTTTTTCTTTTGTGCAGCTTACCACGATGTAGATTTAAAATGTAATGTTAAGTGTATCTATACTGTTTCAAAAGAATGAGTGTCTCTTTAATGCTTCTAGCCTTATTAGACATGTTCAGTCAGAAAATCGAACTGGGTTTTCATTCTTGTGAATCAAAGCCATAAATGTATACTGCAAATGATGTGCCTGTTTACAGTATTTATGGTACTATTTATTGTAAAATAGATGTAAAGTTTGTACACAGAATGATTGTTGGTAATAATGTATCATTTTTCTTTTGAATGTTCACCTTGGCTAAGTTTGATGGTGTCATAAAGGTCAAACGATCATTTGCAAAACACTTTTGATGGACTAGAATTTTTTTTTTTTTTAAACTGGAAAGAAATTTACCGCAGAGAACAAAATTCCCATAAACACTATGGTAAATGGTAAATGGCCTGTATTTGTATAGCGCTTTTCTAGTCCCTAAGGACCCCAAAGCGCTTTACACAACCTGTCATCCACACACTGGTGATGGCAAGCTACATTGTAGCCACAGCCACCCTGGGGCGCACTGACAGAGGCGAGGCTGCCGGACACTGGGCCCTCTGACCACCACCAGTTTGCAACGGGTGAAGCGTCTTGCTCAAGGACACAATGACCGAGACTGTCCAAGCCGGGGCTCGAACCGGCAACCTTCGGATTACAAGGCGAACACCCAACTCTCCAACACTCCAATAGTGCTAAACACTAGCACTATTGGAGTGATCACAGTCAGTACACCACATTTCTAACAGTGTAAGTCATTTTCATTTGATGATTCTGCTTTAACTGGAGAAAAGTAGAAACTTCATGACGGTAAAAAGGCTCTGCGGAGTGTTTCAAGCAAGTATGATGACTATTAAAGTTCCCCATTTCAAAACTGTGTTTTGATTGACTGTTACTTTCCCACCACAAAACACATCTGGTGTTTTTAGTATGATACAAATATAGAACACACAGTTTATTAAACCTTTTCAGTTACATTTTTGAACTGTAAAAATAGTACAAAGTTGATTTCAGTAGTTTTTAGTGAAGCATTTTTTTTCTTTTGCACAAATAAAAGAAATAATATTCAACCTAGTATTTTTTTTTTCCTGTTTCTGGAGAGTGTTCTAAAAATGTCCAGAACAAGAGCTGTCGTTTGGAAAAAAATAAATAAATAAATCAAATGTAGCAATGTATGCATAGTTCCTGAAGAGGGCAGTGTTGTCTTTATCAGCCACTTGGGAAAATTACATTTCACTCCAGTAACAACTGTAACAAATTTTGCAGGGGCATTTTTTTTTAACCTTTACCTTTATTTTGCCTTTTCTAGCTCACATTTCATTATGTGCAACAATTAACAACTTATACAACATTTACATTACAAATGGCACAAATTTATGTTTAGGATTACTCATCACACAAGGCTGACATACCATCATAGAAAGATTTCAAAATTTACTTGTATAAAAGTTGAATTAAGAGGTGGACCTGCACACTCATCTCTTTCATATATTCTTCGCAAAGTGCAAATTCAGTCTTAAAAAGCCACGTGGATGTTTTTCATACATCTGTTTTTTCATCACTGTAAGATAAAACTCAGCATTTTGTTCAGTAACCATCATCGTATTCATTCTGGGCCGCCTGCCGGGCTAGCATGGCCTGGATAAGAGCACTAGAGCCTGAAGGCCCAGGGTTTTGTGGTGGAGCAGTCATCCACTGAATTCTGTCATCTTCCTGTGCTTGCTGCCTGGCCTGCATGACCTGCATCATGACACTTGACACTGGATGCGGCAGGTCACCCATGTCATCTTCTGTGTCCTCTGCTCTTCTTCTGGCTTGCATGGCCTGTGTGACGGCACTGGATCTGTTGAAAATGTCATATTGATTATTGTCTTCATCCTCCACCCTGTTTCTGGCTGCCATGGCCTGAGCAAGTGTACTGGAAGATGATGGGTTTTCATCATGCATCGGATACTGATCTTCATTCTCCTGGTCAGCTAGTTGACGGGCCAACATGGCTTGCATCAGAGAACTAGAGTTAGACATTTCAGAAGGAACAGGTACTCCACCAATGCTGTATCTTTTCTCCTCCTCTTCAAGTTGCTGACGTGCAAGTAAAGCTTGAACCATGGCATTTGAGTTGGACTGATCACCAGATGAGTGATCATATGAATGCTGTTTCATGCTCTAAACAGAAAATAAAATATTCAGTAAGGCTGATAACAAGCTTCTACATGCAAAGTGATGTCAGCATGAAATAATTTTAACAACAAACCCCTTTTTGTTTCTTCTGTTTGGTGTTTTTGTTTGGGATAGATTTTTGAAGGTCCTGTAACCTTTCTAACAAGAAGGACTTGTCTTTCCCTTCCTGGTGGGAGGGAAACAGAAGCAGTCAGGCAAACAAAAACATAAACAAAATGTAAATGTATTCAAGACTAGACAAGTTCCACTTGTTCCTGAGGTCTGGTGAAACATATATTAAGGGAAACAGTTTCTAGAACAAACTCACATTGACAATCTGTTGTCTCAGACGACGAATAAGCTCCTTTCGACCATTAGTGACTTGCCACAATATGTATATGATGACACTGAGCAGTAAAATTGCACACAGGAAAACCATTTGCTTAATGACACAAATTTTGCATCAGTACATATGTGCATTCATATGCAAAGCTCAGTTATATGCAAAACATGGCTTGGACTTTTTCAGTCAACGTTACAAAGTACATGCTGTGTACATAAGACAGCACTTGCACTATGCACTTACAGGATGATGAGTGTGATTAGAAAATAGAAGATTTCACTCCGGATGACATTATTGTAAATCTCGACGACCCACTGAGAGCCAGTGATGTTTTTTAGATCATCTATCCAGACATCAACCGCACTGAAGGAATTGTTGAGTCCACGAAAAGGGCCACAGGACTTTGAGGGAGTCAGGCTATGGAGCAAGACAGAGTGAACAAAACAAGACTGAGACTGGAACCTTTCTGTATTTTCAGTACAAAATGCATTATTAATCAAAGACAAATATATATATATATATAATTTTATTTTAGCTTAGAAAAGAATAAAATAGAATTGATGGATATATTTTTCTCTTTTTTAGCAGCTGAAGTCATGTCCTCTTACCTCCAGGCAGTGTATGCAACAATTGACAGGGCTCCCACGAAGAACGGGAAGAAGAGAAGGAAGATGAAGATGGTTTGCATCTGAGCTGCTCTGCCAGATCGCCGTGGGGGCTGACAGTTATGTGTGAGACTGACCTGAGAAGTGCAAAAACCAAACTTGTACTACCCCATAAATACACATCCATAAACAAATATATTATTGATTTATTTTTGTAGTAACTTTGCTAATAAACTTGTGAGCCATAACAGAAAACAGAGCTTGGAATTGACTTTTTAAAAGATCATTCAGCAGGTTCATGAAACACACAGCATCAGCAGATCCGGCCTAGATCAAATTACAAATCCTACAAAGTTCATTAAATTTCAGTGATTGATTGATCTTGTCTGGTACCATTAAACCATAATGGTTACTCCTTAAATCCGAAACCCAGGCTGTCTTTTCCATTACCCAAAATAAAGCATCCATTCAATGTGATGAAAGGATTTTAATTAATTATTGACTGAGGTGTGCAAATAGAGTAACACGACCCTTATGGAGCATGGAGCAGTCCTGGTAGCAGCATTTACCTTCTTTAGATAAAACAGGATGAAGAATTTGAAAATCTGCATGGCAGGTAGCAGAGGAGAGAAGTAGATTCCAATCCTGTGGAGAGAAAATAGACGATTGCATTTAAATAATTTAAAAAGGTCCAAGATCAAGATAGATAACATAAGATTTGACTAAAATCCACTGACACACTGCTAGAACTTATGAAATGTCGAATGTATTGTTCATATGGTTCATACCAGGCCAGCGTCTGTGAATAGATGAGTTCAAGCACATTTCTGGCTACGTCAAACTCAGGAACCCCCATGCGTGGTATTAATTTTGTCCCGATCACACTATTAGAAAGAAATTGAGTATGTGATTTTAAACATAGGTCCATCTAACAATATAAAATATGAATTGAAATTCTATAACTCACTTGCTAAGAAACTCTCCAAAGAAAGATCCCAACATCAGGAAAAGGAAGTCAAAAAGGACCAGACGGTACAAAGACTGCCCTACCATGGACTCCCAACCCTGATGAATGAAACAAATTCACGAATGAATGTCTATGCCTAATGAATAAAGTAGGGACAGATAAAATAAACGTATGTTGTGTTTAAAAAAACACAAATAAATAGATAAATGGATATTTATTACTTACTGAACCTTTAGCAGGCACCTTATTCATCCAATAATAACACAAAACAGACAGAATGGACATCTTGAGAAAGACATTTCTGTATGTGAAAAAAGAAAGTATTTCAATTTTTATTATTGGTTAAATAAATAATTATATTTGCTTTGTGCTAGATGTCCAAATCCAAATCCAAATCCAATTTATTTATATAGCACATTTAAAAACAGAAAGTTTTCCCAAAGTGCTGTACAGAAACAAAGGAGTAAAACACAAGATGAAGCCACTGACAGTCACATAAAAACACAATACTACACATAATAAACAAATCAACTCACACCAGTCTGAACGCAATCGAAAAAAGGTGTGTTTTCAAAAGCGACTTAAAAACAGGAAACAAAGATGCCTGTTTAATATTTAAAGGCAGCGTAGTCCAAAGTTTTGGAGCCATAATTGAAAAGGCTCGTTCTCCTCTTCGTTTTAGCCTAGATTTTGGGACAACCAAAAGCAGCTGATCTAAGGGTCCGCGAAGGAATATAAGGCTGAAGTAACTCGGAAAGGTATGGGGGAGCAAGACCATTAAGGCATTTATGGTCTATAAATGTATAGATGTGTCGATAGCTGCACCACTTTACATATATACAGTCATGGCTTTACATAGATACCACTATACTTTATATTTACTTTTGTTTAAGCCTGATCCTAGAACTGTTCCTAGATCCTAGCACTCCCAGTCTTCTCACTATACTTCAGGAAGTCCTACATTGTTTTATAACACAGCCCACAAATTACACTGCAATTAACTCTAACAAGATTGAGAGCCTGCTACCATGCTGGTGACTCTGTGATGATGTCATAGGCACACCAAAACAAGGTTAGTTGCCTCCTTATTTCCGGTCTAATGGTAAACTAAGATATCTGTATTTTGTTATCTATCTAGACATAGACATAGACATATTTATATACATATATTGTTTTATTTCACCTGATCAACAGAACATATATCTGTTTGCGGTGGGTGGAGTAATGCTCAAATTTGTTGAAGAGGGAGTAGAAGAGTGGAATAACCAGGTTTATTAAAGACACCACAAAGGGAACCAGGAGTGTCTTTGCCTCCTCAAGCAGAGACCAATTGTCATTTTTTGTTGCCTGCACACAAAACAGGTAAAGATAGTGCATAATGACGAATACTGTATGCAATGAAACAATAAAAACCCTGCGCTGTTGGTAAATGACAAGACTTTCAGTAAATTTATGACACCTGGTTTAGATTTTCACGCTCTGAGAGTACAGGTGAGGTATATATTTTTACATGTTTTTTAGTTTATACTAGTTTTACTAACAAGAAAAGTGATTTCTCTAGAGAAAAAATATGCATTCACATTGCCTGTAGTCTACATTTAACAGACACAAGTAATTCCAAAGTCTAATTATTCCATTTTAACTTATGTACCTCAATCTCATACTTGCAGAGATAGTAAATACTGGCTGCACAACCAAAAGCCAAGCTTGTGGAGAGAAGCCAGCAACCAAAATTAATCCCATAGTGCTTCAGTTTTTCAGAGACCGAAAGGCGCTCCTGCTGGGCCGTTTCTGATAAAGACTCCTGAGTGAGCAGCAAGAGGACAAACAATGAAATACTGATGTGTATGTAGGTGTAAAATACAGAATTTCAATCTGTCACAGTTAATTCAGCATTTGATATTTTTTAGAAAAAGAAAAAAGCTATAAGTCACCTTGAGCTGGACACAAAGGTTGTTCCTGCGCTGTTTCACTGCTTTCTCATTGGTTACACTAAAATCCCAGGTGCAAAGAAGTTGCCATGCACTGTTTGATGCCGAGTCTGCTAGTACATAGTTGTTCTTGAAATTGACTGCCATGCTGCACGTGGACAAATCAAGATTCAGAATCATTGTTAGAATCAGAGCTATTGGAGCAGCTATGAGAGTTTTTATATCTACAACTATTAATCAATGTTATGATTGCTTGTTTTGGCATTAGAATTTTCACATTTTCTAATAATTTATTATTATATTTATCAATTTTTTCTTTTGACTTATCTCCTCTTCTCCCACATGCATGTTGAGGAGTCATAACAAAGCAAATTCCCTGTGGACTTGAGTAAAATCTTTAGCATGATGAGGACTTAACTAACCTGAAAATAAGTGAAATTCCACATAGCACCATATAGACTGCAATGGTGAAGAAATAGGCCAGCTGCATGTTGTAACCCACCAGAGATTCATTGCTGTAGCTACCGTAGTACATGACCGTATACTTGAAGTAACCCTAGGAAATCCAAAATATATGCAACTCTTGTTCACTCAGTACAGAGAGAATTAGAAAACATCTAACATGATATTACATAATACATATCAACAGTGTTTGCTAGTTCTAATTGATTATGATCTGCCATGTAGAGCGGATTCATGTTTTAGATTTTCTTTTGTGAAAACAAATGCTGTTGCACTGTCACTCCACTTGAAGAAACCCCACTTGTGGTTGGGGTTTGCATGTGCTCTTTGTGCATGAATGTTAGGTTAACTGGTGACTAAATTGGCTATAGGTGTGGATGTGAGACTGGTGATCTGTCCAGACTGTAGCACACTGCTCACCCTATCCATCATTGGAAAACAAACAACTGCATCCAAAATAATGCAGATTTGAGCCATGAGCATAAACCAAATAATTAGCTCTTATATTACATACTCATTTAATTAAATGGTAATTATTACATTAGCTTTAAATTTTAAAATAATGATGGTTGTGACTTCAACAGAAGATAAATGCATGTACTACTTACAGCTCCAGTTAGTATCTCCAGTCCTCTGAAGGTGACATTTTGGGGTACATTGTTCACGATTTGAGAAATGTTTGGGGTTTGCTTGTAAACAAGCAGAGGGATGGTGACAAAGCCAAAGTTGACCAGGAATGAGAAAATGTTAAACATGAGAAGCCACTTCAGGAACACAAAATAGGTGAGAACACTGGTCCCAAACTTCCCACCAATACTTTTCATAGCGCCTTGCCACAGTTTCAGGGTCTGCTTGGCTGACTTTACATGGTACCCGCATTTTCGTGAAAACTGAAAAAAGATCATAACATTCTGTATGTAGCATATGAGCACAAATTATGAATGAGCTAGGCTCATAAAGAGATGCAGCTGTTGCTTTTATGACAGATAAAACACTCACCAGAGACAGCTTTTCAGAGCAATCTGCCAAACATGTGAATTGGCGAGACTTCTTGGAAGACTGTAATTCCAATTCTTTCCTGTAAGAGTAAAACCATTGGGATCCTTGTCAAGCAAATTACCTGCATCACAAGTTTCTGCAGGCTGTAGAAGCCCCTTTGGACTTCAATTAGTACTTTCTTGTGTAATTTGTGTTGGACAAATACTTCCTTCAGAGATCTTTATTGCAACACCTGTGGCCTCCAAGCATTTGCATACAGCCTAGTTTATGGTTCCCAGCAGGATGCAATGTTTAACTAAATGTTTCGAATGACACTGAGAAGGATTTTGTTATCATCTTTATTTGTTTGTGGCTCACCCACCTGATATGTTTCTTCTCTTTAAAGCTCATTGGAAGATCCCGAATGGCCTGGATTCTGTCTCGTGTTGACAGAGCAGCAAGTTCCTCGAGCAAGTTTTGTTGCTCTGCCAGACACAAGATGACAAGACAAGTGCTGGCTGTTAAATCTTTGCGAGTACTGCCTTTCAGAATACATATCAGGTGTCATAATTCACTATCCAAAAATCCACAGGATAATCTGACACCCCTCAGGTGTGCTTACCATTTTGCATCTCATTCCAGATGGCATCCTCTGTGAAAGCTGTTTGGGTATGATCTGCATTAGGAAACATGCTCATCCTTCTCATCGCTATTCCTCTCCACCGCATTGTCATTTTTCCTGGATTTGCACACAAGCAAAAGACAGCCAGCCTTCTGTTGTGATTATTGTGGATTTTCAAACTCAAAAGCATGAGATTGATACAAGAACAGAGTGACAGTCAGCAAATGAACTGGGTAGCATTTTTAAATGTAACACCTGCAGCCGTTTACGCAGCCTTTATCACTTACTCTTTTCTAAAATAACAATAAGCTGCTACTTATTTATAAATCTAAAGATAAATATCGACTGCAAAAACACTGACAGAAAGCACTGCTGATAGTACAGGACACAGCACCATATACAAACTAATGTGGGTACTAATATGCAACTGTTTGTTCAAAATCTTTATTTCTGATGAATTTATTATTTCATATTTATTTTAATTTCATATAATGCTATGATACTGAAGGTGTTGGTGCCATTGCCCACCAAACTGTATTACTTTGCAGTTATTGTCAGAGTATCAGTCTGTGTGTATTATTTGCATGCATTAGTTTTAGTCTTGGTATGACCCTGGAATTTCTTTTTAGTCTTTCAGAAGCATAAAGATTAAATGAAATGGGAGGAAATGGAAGACAAAGTTATAATTCATCCTGAATTTCTATCTATATGGATTCCATGACAGTCCATCCAACAGTTGCTAATACAGTTTACTTGTGTATTTAATGTAATAGGTGATGAAATAGATATTAGACAAGTGAAAACAGATGTAAATCAAAGTTGTATATCTGTGTCATGTTCTATGGTAATCAAACTATATCACTGAAAAAAAGGCCATGTTGGATTTATTTGATTCAATAGTGGACATTGGTTGCACACAAATGTTTTGCTTTGGCAGAAACTTAGACAAATGAGTTAAATCAACACAACTTATTCCTATTCAATAAACCTGTGCATTTTGTGTTCAGAAAACACAACTGAAACATGTTTAGATGAAGTAAGTTGAGCTCTTGGAATATTTTAATCCTTCACAATTTTGTCATTTTATTTCAACACTATTCAATAACTTTTACCCCAGTACTACTTGGTCACTTAAATACTACATGTTGTCTTCATATTACATAATGTTCAACAAAGTCTAGAGTCTGGTTACTATAAAAAGTGAACGGGTCTACAACAGCTACAATCCTCCTATCTTTCAGGGGCATAAGCCTGAAGTGATAGGTCACTCGGCAGCGAACACCCTGGACAGCTCACCAGTCTACCACAGAGACAAACAACCATTCACATTAAATTGTGGATTTGAACCCAGGACCTTCGTGAGGCAACAGCACTAACCACCATGCCACCATTACATGTGGTTAAACCATAATAAAAAGCGATAGCATACATGTGGTGTGTGTGTAGTTGTCTGTGTAATTTCACGAGTCCAGCAACTAACCACTCTTACTAGATTGTATCAGATCATCTCAACAAGAACAAATTAAGTTGTTGAATTTCATACAGATCCTACATGATTTAATTACGTTCAAGATAGAAACATGAAATTTTTGTGTTCAAATTAAAAGGTAGGCTTTTTTAATGTAACAACCACCCAATTTACTTCTTTCGGTTTACCAAAAAAGTAGAGGCGACTGCTCGACTTGACTGAGATGGATGCCTTCGTCAAACCACGATCCAAAGCGTGCGAGACTGAAATCCTGTGCGATGTAAACATTGCTATATTATTGACTTACTTCACTCAAACATGAACAATTTAATCTACCCTCTCTGCATATTATGTAGTTTCTACACGATACAGTTACTATAGAGCAGGGACGTGCAGAGGGGGGGGCTAGAGGGGCTTGAGCACCCGCCCCTTTCCTGATG